TCCAAGGCCAGCTAATCAATCACCAAGCCCCCCCTGTTTTGCAGAGGTCAGCCTGGCACCGCAGGGCAGGTTGCAGAGCCGAGAGCACTTGGCCAAAAATCGCCATTTCAGCTGAAGCACAGTTAGCAAACTTATTATTTCAACTTATGAGAAAAAAAGAGAAAATATATATATTTTTTGCATGAAAAAGTCAAGAAACCTGAGTAAATCCAATTGCATCTTGGCATGTTTTTGTATCCCATTCAAAGGTTGATGATTTCAATGAAAGTTGTTTATAATCAAGTGACCCTTTTGTCAAGGTTTCCAGCATAGTATACCTTTGCTATGATATTTATGTTAAGTTGGTTCTACTTTTATCAACAATATCAATTTAAGCAACTATTAGGCAGTGTTGAAAATATATATATATTTTTTAAGTTGTATGAATGAGGATGAGGAAAAGATAAAGACGAAAGCAACTTAATCAAAATATTGTAAGGATTGGACTACTTCAAGTTGGGCACCAATTCAAATTGTGAATGTGAATCACATAGAAATATGCACAATGGCTCCTCTCTGCAAAAGATTCAAGTCTGACAGAAATGATATATTCTCTTCGAATAAATGACTGAAATTTTGTAAGAAATGCTGAACTTGTGAATTATTTCTTTGTTATGATCCATACAATGATTTTAGAATACAGAATTAAAAGTGGATTCATGAAACTATTTAAATAGTGTTGTATGGTTATGCTATTTATTTTTACCATTCATGTTTTATGCCATTTCTGTGTCCTGAAACCCACAATGCTTTGTATTATAGAAAAGGTCTCCTTTGCTTAACTGGTGCAAGCCATAGGAAAGTCCAAAAAACAACCACCAAGGGGGTGCAATATGAAATTTGGAAAGCTTTCAAATGGTAATATAAATAGTCCAAAATATTCTCCACATAGGCTTTAAGTCTATTAGAAAGTGTTTTATCAAATCAAAGCAATAAATCCAGCTAACCAAAAGGAAATAAAAATACCTTAATTATCTGTCTTGCAATAAGTTTTCAAAACCATGATGCAACTATTGTCACTATTTTAACTGTTCCATGGAGAGAAAATTGGGATTTTTTTTTTTTTTTACGAAAATAACACAATTTCTTTGTAACCCAATCCACAGGTTGACAGAAGCTAACTCTCTTCATGGCAGTTTTCATGGGGGGGTCATCTGGCTGTCTCTCCTCCCGGTGTCATGTCCATCTGGCCTGTGAGGTGTAATAGCCCTACTAATCTCCCAATAATAGCTGCAGGGCCCGGGGATATGTCATCAGGACAAGATGGACCCACAGTCCCCCCCAAAAAAATCAATGCACTACGCCCCTCAAGGGGATCTTGCTATCCAAGGTGATGTCAATATTGTCAATTGGGTATTAAAGAACATTTCATCAGCATGTGTGACAGTAAGAAAGAGGGCAAGTGTGCCGAACTCATGGTTGGGGTCCGTGGCTGGTGTGCCTCTATGTGTATTGAGACCCCTTGGGGATCTATTCAGGTAATATGCTATCCCTAAGATACTGTCTACTGACACCATGACAAACTAAGTCATTTCCTTTGTCAGTTTATTTTCCGTAAACTGAACACATGGATTGTGAAGATCATTTTTATTTCTAAACTGATCAGGTAACAATTTATATTTTGCCAAGTTATGTATAACATCGGATACCTTTTTCAAATAACTTCTCCGACCCTTATGCCTCTGTCTTGTCTGATGTTAAAGCAAAAACATGGCTTCAAACTAAAATTATTGCATATTTTGGAATTTTTCTATAATACAACACATTCAAATACATTTCATTTGATATTTTCAATTACAATGGTGAAATGAATTTTTTTTAGCAGTTTGAGCCATTGAGAAAACAAACCTAATTTTTGTTCTTAAATTTGGAATAAAACACACATGCAAAAAGCCTCTAAAATAGACAAGTTTAATGGTGAATTACATCTCCCTTGTCATTTAAATTTACTTTTTTATTCAAGAGCACAGTGGTTATCAATTGTTGTTTTTGCTAAAAACATTATTTCAACTGCACAACAGTCCAATTTTCCATTTTGTATCACAAGCAGACAAATCAAGAGCACACACTGCTCATGTATCAAGTCACACTACTGTAAGGCCTATAAAACAATATCTGGTATTGTCCTGCTCAGCTACTTTAACTAAGAAGAATAGATGTCGCGTTCATGATTGCACATGTCTCTTCATTGTTCTGATATTCATAGCTGCATCAGTTTTACTCTCTCATGTATGAATAAGCACTAATGCACCCTCATTGCAGACACAGGCTATTGCACCTTCATCCGATAACAGACTGGATGCTTTTTCTCAGATTTGCTTACATTCAGCATTACATTCAGCACTAATGGTGTTTTGTTTTTTGTGTATAATCCTTCTGTATAACATTTTAAAGTTTTCCAAAACTATATAGCTACATGCTGTCATGACAGTTTATACGCATTGCAGACAACCGCCTGAAAACTGGAGCATTATATGCATCCAGCAGTACTTTCTTTTCTGGTGTTTGCTTACTGAGATTTCCCCTGATGGGGTAAATCACTAAATCTTATCACAACATTGAATATTGAAAAACCAAAACTTTAAAAAAATAGAAATTCAATCACAACTTTTCTACCATTCATTAAAAATTCTTGGTTAGACAGAGTGGTGGACAACAAACTTTAATTTATTGGAAAAACTGCTTCTTTTATAAAATCCTGTTACCAGTAAATCCAATGAGAGAATACTCTTCTGAAATTATATATTATAAACTTTTCTGTAATTTCCTCTCCAAAATCGTGCTCGACTCAAGTTTATTGCTCTCATCAAAATTCATGTTGTGCTGTTCCAAAGATTGAGAAGGAAATTTTATCCAGTATGAAAATATGTCCTGTTACATATGAAATACTGCCAATAAATACCCTCAGCAGAGGAGCAACGCATCTGCTAACTGAAAACATAAAGGTTTGTGAAACACTTGACGAAAACATTAGTATCAATATGAATCAAATCAGTATTTGTAGGGAAAAACTAATCAGCTCCATATGAAGGTGGAAACATGTTTAGGTGTTTCTGAGATTGACAACTTCTGTTTTTTTGTCTGTTTGCTATCACAAGTGTTAAGCTACTGTAATATGTCTGGTCAACACACTCCAGATCAAGGCATTATAACAGTGATCATACATTTTTTAAATCTCAGTTACTGTTAATCGATTCCAAACGATGAATTGTGCTGAGGGTATTTTTGAAATACATCTACGAGATAACATTTTCGCTGTTCACTTCAAATCAGCACAGCATGCCTTGTGCTGCGAGTGCAACTTTGCTCAACAAAAGAATAATGCAGAGTTTATTCCAGTGAAGAAAAAAGGGGGGAAAAAAACTGCATCAGGATTTTGCTTGTCCTGTCCCACTTGAGGCCACAGGATCGGCAGTATTTTCACTGTGCCCGCTGCCTTTGTGCCCTCCCACCCAGCCACCACCATCTGTTCCCTGGCTCAGTCCTCTACCTCCCATGCAGGGCAGGCCCAGAGTGCTGACACCCTCACACCAGACACACAGTGGGAAGGAAGTACTAGTCTGTATATTGTTGTCAGGTCAACCAAACATACAGCTACACAATCAAGATAATATGTGAAGCTTTGACAGCAAAGCTTTAACACTTTTTCAAAGGGGAAATTTACAGAATGCCCTTTTTTTACTTTAAATGAATAATGTTGACAGTAGTTAAACTAAATGGTGAAGTTTAATCCCAGCACTGACAGTTTAAATTGTGCACATTGTGATATGCTGAGCCAATGTGTACACAACAGTACACAATTAATTACATATAAAAAGAAAATCTATTGACTTCACAGGCATTTACACAACATATAAATGCGTTTGCTTTAACTTATTCTTAGCATTGAAACTAAATCAGGAAAACAGATGGCAACATTGTAAAATATATGATAAGAAACTTTTAATCATTCAAACATAAAAATTGTGGGAGTAAGAATAGAGAGATATGGTGAAATTATGTTTAATATATTAAATACACAGAAAGGCTAACTGACTTAAGCTCAGGGTTTCCTTTTTAATACTTATGTGTTACAGCTTCACATTAACAGTGGCAATAAAAGTGTGTGTATGTGCATCTCAATATGTAATGCTTAGATGTATGAGTCCAGAGGTGGCATACCTTTCTGAAGAATGGTACTGAGGCCACTGAACTCATTTTCCATTCCCTTGCTGCAACCCTTGACCTTTGACTTTATAGGTCAGAATTGCCCTCTTCTTTTCTGTTTCCATTTATCAACCTCTCAATGCCAAATGGGGGAGCATCTTTTGCAAGCAACCCACCCCTCATGTCTACCCTCTTTTGTTTAACCTCTTTAGCCATCAGTTCTGGGAGGAGGGAGTCAAATTTGGTTTATGGCCCTGATGGCTTATGGGTACTGGTGGGAGGAGGGGTAGAAGGTGGGACTACAAATCTCTGACTAGCACCTAAAGCTGTCAGTGGTGCCCTGGGGGCCTGCAGGCGTCAGCCAGCACGGTCACCTTGGATTGGTGGACGAATTAGATGAAGGCACACACTCTCACATACATGCAAAAGCAAACAGTGAACATCTTGCCATCACTTGTGCAAATCCCAACTTCGGCACACAAACAGGCACATACTTGCATACACATCAAACAGGCAAGCAGACACTTAGGTTGCCCCTCACTTTCTTTTAAACATACTCACATACACCTCCTTCCCCTGTCAGAACAGCGATTAATATTCTAGAAGAAAGAAGGGAGTAGCATGTGTTTACACTGATTACTGCGGGCTCCTCCTTCCTATCTCATGCCCCACAAGCACCCCACCCTCAATCAGGGAGGTCTCTTTTTGCTCCGAGTTTGCTCTTGGCTGAGTTGATCTGTTAGCATGATATCCAGCTGAAGACGACTACATCGTGGCTGTTAATTAAATGAATGCTAACGTGTGAGCTGTAGAGACTGTGGAGCTACTCCAACCCACCCATCATCGCCGTCGTCACCCTGCTGTGCTCCGAAGCCCCCTACAGCGGGGCAACTCAAGTGAGACGTCGGTCAAGAGGGCAGAGTTGAGTAAAATGTGCAGGTGGAGTGATGGAGGTGGAGATTGAGAAAGTAGGTGTCAGAGTGTCAGTAGGATGGTCACATGGCCCCTCTCAGTATGGGGTCACTATCCACCTCCCTACTCAGCCGCTCTCTCACTCTGTGGCAGCTGTAGGGGAAGTGTATCCTTCACAAGCACTGCAGGGAGTAGAGGGAGGTGATAGCATGTGTAAATGTGTGCATATAAAAGTGTGTTTATTTACACAATAATTTCCCAAAGGCAGAGGTACTTGTACATACTACCGTAAGTCCCCCCCCTCCCTTTTTTAATTATAGCTAAAAAAAGGCTAAAAAAAACAACCATTTGGAAGTACAACATATATTATGATACCCATATTGACACACTGTTAACTTTCTCATTATATCATCATGTTCAACTACCGTATCTTTATTTTAATTCATAAAAGTATCAATTAGTCTGGAAAACATGAAACGGCCCTTCGAAAAACTGATTATTTCTAAAGAGCCAAAGCTCAGCAGAGTCATCCTTTAAATTTCAGTAGTGATGGATTGATGAGCTTCCACCAATAAAATTATTTAAGTCAGACAGGAGACTCAGGGAGTCCTTTCAAGTATTATCACTGATGTATGAGTGACTACAGCTTTAGAAATATTCTTAGAACTTGATTGTTAACTTTTGAAAAAAATACAGTTATGAATGGCTCAGGCGACCCTGAAACATTCCATAACTTTTAAAACAATTGTTGCTTTTTTTTAAAGTACTTCATTAACACTGACTTTATACTTATATACAGTATCTATAGTATTATATACATATAATATATACATATGTATTTCACCCTCTCTTACTTGAGTTGAACGCTTTGTTGATGGCATGATATAGGTGTTGGATATTGATGGTATCATGATTCTGTCAATTGTCTCTCAAAATTGTCTCTCAAAATCCAACCATTGTGCTGAATCTCCCACGAGATTCCTTTTTCCACTCAACTGAAGATAACGAACCTGTTTATTACTGTGACATTCTGCTGTGGGTCCTCCTTGTCTGCTGGCTAGTACTTGCTGTGACAATTTATTTTTTCTATTCATTAAATTCATAATTATGATACGGCTTGTAATATGAAGTAGAAATAATTTGTATCTTTTTTATACATTGTTGTTTTGGTCAAATAACGTATGTGGATGATTTTCTGTATTGAAAACATAACATCTTTCACATATTATGAAAGTGACTTTTCAGTCAGTTGCAACGTGACTGCATGTCTCCATGTCACAGCCTTTACTGGCAATTTCACCTACTTGAATCATGCAGAAACCCATTTTCCCACAAAGATATCTCTAGCCCGCTATATTTTCTGCAATGTTTGACAAATCTCTAGTAAGACTGCCATACTTATGGTGTACAGCGGTACAATGCTGATCATATAATTTCACATCACACTGCTATTACAAAAAGGGATGAAGAAAGGAGAAAGCCCAAGGATGGGACAGTATGGAGAGTACGACGAATGAATAGAAACTGGAAAAAGAGAGGGGGGTTGCAAGGGGAAAGAAATCTCTGTCTCAGCAAAAGTTTTCATTAAAAATTTGAGACAAATGATCTCTGTGTCCTTCTCTTGAAGCTGCCTGGGGCGTCATGCTATTTCTATGCAAATAACAACCTCACGCCTTTGCTCCTATTATTTCAGCCGGAGCTGCTGCAACATGACCCAGGAGAGAATGGTAGGGAGGGAGGAGACAGAGGAGGGAAGCAAGGCAGGGTAAGTAAGAAAGGGTGATATGAAGTGAGAGAGCGGAATAAGAAAGAAGTCCCGTAAAGGAGGAAAAGAGAGAGAAAGGGAACGATAGAGAGGACGAGGGCAGAGGAGACGAGCCAGACAAGCTGTGTGTATGTGTTTGAGCTCGTGTATCTCTGTGTATACGCACGATAGATTCACTGAGGTGTGAAAATATATAACACTTGGAAAGAGAGAGTGGAAGAGAAGGAGAGAGATTGAGTACTAAGAACAACACAAAGACACAACTATAATTTGTTTGGAGGCTGCCTTTCTTGTAATATATGACACCCCCAGCACGGGTGTTTCCTCACCATGCACTATTGTTTAACTATATAGCACTTACAACACTATCAGGACCAGTCCATCACACACACCCACCCACACACACTCACACAAACACAGAGTACATACGTCAGGATTTACGTACTGGCCTGCTCCACTACTGCAGTGTGTTACAAATGAAAAACTGTGAAAGCTGAGCAGCAGATGTATGTTGTAAAAGTTGGTATTCAAACAAAGTCACAAAACTTTAATAAATTCACAGTAAATACAGTTTTGGAGATGCATACGCCATTCTATTATATTGAACACAACCATGAACACTGTAAGGGCATACATAGTAGTATCCACAGCCTCAAAAATGCCTTGTGAATGGAGGCCACTTTTCTCTCCTGGCTTCCATTCTGTCCTTCACCTCATTTGTACTCCGTCCTCCTGCTTGCAACCAGAAAAATTTGTCTCACCAACATATTCTGAATTATTTTTTTATAATGCATTCGCGAATAGATACCTTTCACATTCTTTATATTCATAATCATAATATGGCTTGAAATGTGAAGAAGAAATAATTTGGATCTTTTTGATAGGTTGTCGTTTAGGTCAAATAACATATGAGGATGATTTTCTGTATTGAATACATAATACCTTTCACATATCATGAAAGTGACTTCAGTCAGTTGCTACGTGACTATATGTCTCCATGTCACAGCCTTTACTGGGAATTTCACCTATTTGAAACATGCACAAACCCATTTCCCCACAAAGATAAGAGAGAGGCGGATTTGCTTGTCTAGTGAGTATAAGTAATTGCTTTTGATAAATTACATGAAAAGGATCAAGTAATTTAGAAAATTTTGCCTAAAGTATGACTGACCCTCTTAATGTTAAGAAAAACACAATAACGGTAGAATAAAGTAGTATGCTTCCACAAAGCTAAACCTATGAAATGCACTTGTGCCAAAGATTACATTAAACAGACTTTAGATCACTACTCTGATGCAAGAAAGAGCTAAGGAGAGAGGTTGAGGAGATTAAACTTAACACTGTTGGATTTGTGTTCTATAACTAACTTAAGTTTTAGGACCATTAACAGTTGCAGCCATGTAGGTGGGGAAAGTCCAGAATGTCATTAATTTTTATAGACAGAAGGATCGTGGATGACAGCTTCTGTGTCCTCATCTTATGCTCATGTGCTTTTTTAAATTTAGGAATCTTTTGAGACTGATTAAAAAAGCCTGAAAAAAATCAAATACAGATACTGATTACACCAAAGCAATCGCATCTGAAATTCATTGGGAATGAAGTCATGGTTTGATGAGCACAGATACCTTTCAATTCAATTTTAAGTAAAAACTTCTATGAAACAGTCCGACTACCTTTAAAATTTTCTTTTTTAACCTAACCAAGTATATCAACATTGTTTCAGAAGCCCAGAAATTGCTAATTGTATGTCCCTCCTCTTTTTTGTGTAACTGCTGAAGTGTGAGCCTATTACGCTGCAGCAGTGCACTGAGGCTGTACATGGACTCTGCAAGATGCTGCAGTAACAGATCCTGCTTTCGTCGTGATTTATAAATCAGTTACGAGGTTGTGTTAACATAAGTGAGAACTTCAAAACCAAAAACCATTGCCCAGCTGTGTTCAGACAGTTTTTTTTTCTGATTCAAAGTATTATATTAACAAAATAAGAATAGCCCAAAGAAAATGATGAAGCTGCAGGATATTTTATATTTATACAACAATACTGTAAGTAGTTTTGCTAGAACTTTTAGCCAGTATAATAAAGAGGCTTTATGTGTCAGCAGTAATATTACAAAGCACGTATACAATTTTAAAAAGTGAGATCGGAATTTAAGAACTTAAACTGAACATTTTTCTATGCTTGCTTTTTAGATATTAAATTTACACATACACACACACACACATATATATATATATATCACCTCTTACAATATATACACATGTATTATAAATCCCATATCATGTTTGCATTTTTTATGTTTTCTGTTCATGCAAATTTCATTGGGTTACATTTCTAGTAAGAATAATGTACCTACTTGTTATTAAGACTCTTATTATAAAAAACGATTTTGAGAGATTTTTATTTTTACAACCAGCTGGACAGGAAGTTGTACGACGCTTAGTTATGGGGAGTCAGTTTGAGCTTGCCTGTAGTGGGGACAGCTGCCTTTGTCTTCCACTCCTCATTTGTTACACTTTGTTTCCATGTTTGTTCAAGCAACATCTGTGAGTATTTTGTTTTTTGTAATTGGACATACTTCTAGCATATTTCATGGTAATTCATATGTTGATCCAAACAATGTCATAGCAAACACGTGATGGAGCCTAGCTAATTTGTAATTCATGTCTATTCATGTACAATTCTTGACATATGTTTTAAATATGTTTGTATTTCAGTTTAAAAAATGAAAATATTCAGTAAAATAACAACAAAGAATCTGCTTCTGTGGAGTTGCTGAGTTGGTTAGCTAACTCTTAGTGTGTCCAAGACATCCCCTTAGTGCTCTACACAGACTAACCACTGGACCCCCCACAAGGGTGTGTGCTAAGCCCACTACTGTACATTCTCTACACCTCTGCCTACATACCTGATCTCCTGACCACCTGACACCATAGTGAAATTTCTCGACAAAGTGATGGTGTTGGGGCTATTCTCACATGAAAATAAGTCTGTCTATAGGGACGAGGCCTGGAAATTGTTGAGAAGGTCCATACATTTGCTTTTCTGAGCACCATGTCATCTTCTGACTTCTCCTGGACTGTAAACACTGCATCCATTATCAAGACGCATTGACTGCACTTCCTGAGAGTGCTCAATATAAATGATATTGGTGAGAAGTTGCTGGTGACCTTTTACTGCTCCACTGAGGGTGTGCTCGGGATGCTTCCACTACCGCACTGAGGCAAACTTGAAGAAGCAGCAGAGAGTAGTTAAGATGGCAAATGAGATTATGGCCTGCTCCTCTCACTGGAGCAGACAGCCTGCTGCCTCAGCAGAGCTGAATTCAAAGACACAATCCATCCAGCTTACCACCTGTTTGCCCTGTTGCCCTCTAGCAGACACTACGGGTCAAACAGAACCAGGATCCACAGGCTTGGAGACTGTTTCATCCAACAAGCCATCACTACACTGGACTAACACACTCACACAAACATACACCATTACAAAAGAGGGGCAAAGCATGATGGCCATAATAAATAATGCAAATGTTACTTCCCCTTCCCCTTAGATTAGACCCAGCAATTTTATTGAACATGTTGCATAATTTTTTCGAGTACAATGACAATAAAAGGTTACTATTCTGTTTTTGTATAGATATAAGAGTGGGGAGATTTTCAATGTTGTGTGGAAAATGCCTTATCCACCATATGATGTTGGAATATAACATAACTAGAAAGCTTAAGTTAGCCATTACTAAACAAAAGAAGTATACATTTTTTGTTGGTTTCTTACATTACAGAAGCTAGAGTGCTGAGAATCAGGACTAAATCCTTCTGTGTCTATCAAGTTGTTTAAACAATCCAATGAAAAGGTTTTGTCGTACATACACAGTTTTGCTCTTAATGGAAGATTGCACTGAAATATAGCCATTGTATAACCTCTGAGGATCGTGATAAAGGCAATTCACATGCTCTTCAGTCAAGCTAGATGAACATTCGCCAGCAAAGCTGACTTAATTGGTGTAGCAAGGTGGACGAAAGTGTGTGGGCCTTAGTGGTCCAGGCTAACAAAATTAGTTCAGTGAATTTGAGTGGTTATATACTTTTTCGAATAAAACTTGATTGATTCGTGAAGGAACTTTCAAACAAATGGGCACTAAGAATAATGGCATGGTTGTGTTATGAGTTTCTTTTGTAATCTTTATCCAGAATCAGTGGCTTGCCCATAAATTACCACTTAAATATTGGTTGAATAGTTCAGAGTCAAAACATGTTTTGTCTTGTAGAATATGGTTGTGTATGGACCCAATTGCAGTACAGTGGACTCAGACCATTGTAAAGTTCAGCTCTAATAATTCTCTGTGACCAAGATAAAAAGTTTTTTCTGTTATAAACATTTACAAAAAGAAACATTTCTAAAAAATTGTGGGAACATTGCACCACATAATATACTGTGCCTAAGAGTGCTATAATATGTAGTGCAAAAAGTCAATGCAAAATAAGTCACATTTCCATTATTCTCAGGATGACTGAACTACAGCACAGCACTGTTTATACCATTAGTGAGAACCTTACAAAAGACAAAGAACTGTGTTTATGTGTGTTCGAATTGTTTTCTCTCATAGAAATAAAAAACACATTTGCTTTAGAGTTGTAATTTAATTGGCAGAACTAACAGTTATTAATGGGTTGGTCATGGATGAGGTGATACAACACCTGCAGGGGGGTCACTGTCCTGCAGCCATCCTTACATGTGTTCGCGTGTCACTGTGGGAGGGTGTGTGTATACCCACCAGAGCAGATGGCACCCTGCTGGAAAACTCACCTGCTACCCTGTCGGGGGGGACTAGCTAGCAGCATAGCTATCCCAAACAACTAGTGAACTGTGAAACAACTGCAGTCAAAATATCAAGCCAATTAAACACTAATTATGTCTCCTGCCATATGGTACTAACTGACCTGTGTAAACTGAAAAAGAAAACACGGCAATGTGATTGTGTATGTCTGTCGTGTGTTTGGGTGTGTGAGACCGAGAGAGAGAGAAAGAGAGAGAGAGAACATTTAAGGCCTGTGCTGAAACACTTACCACCGTAAGTTATTAACCACGGCAATTTAATCCATTATATTGAACCAGTCTTAGTAAGTCACTACAAATACACACATTGTGTTTTAATGGAAGACCCTAACAATGGAAAGTGTGTGTGAACTATGACGATTCAGCATTCTTTAAAGATGACCTAAAAAGACAAAGGTGCCTTCAGCTTTTCGAGGCAAGAAGACTCCACCAAATAGCAGAAGAAATCAATCCTCACAGACAACTCAAGCATAAATTAAACTACTTTTCAAAAGCTCATGTCGGTCCATGCTGTTAATCAGTTTAAGGTAAACATTAAAAACCATAAATGTTATGTTAAAGGTATTTTAGTGTTTTGAAAAAGAAAATAATAGTGGTAACAATTATTTATCTTGATAGTCTTAACAGTCAGACTTTTCTCCAGTTTTTTCTCTGTGATTGTGTTTTAATGTATGCCCAGCATAGGAAGCATCCACGTAATCCACTGTCTGCAGTGCACCAGATAGCTGTTAATGAGAAGAGGTCGTCCTAACAGTAAACAGTGAGAACACTTTCAGCATTTGTTGGTATATGAGACATTTAAAATACGTCCTAATTTTTAGGTTATGACAGTGCGCAATACCTTAAAGTTTTTCTATGTCCATGTGAAAATGAATAAATGTTTACATATTGCTCACATTTAACTAAAACTGTTTTATTACAGGCTGGTAAAGCAGTATGGTGGTTTTGCTCTGGACCAGCCTCCCTGTAAACTTAATGTATGATTTTGTCAGTACATTTCCCTAAGTATTTGCATTCACTCTGTGAGAGTGTCTGCACGAAAAAGAAGTTGTACATCGACTGGCCAGGTATACTCAATGTATTTATTTTTCTCAGAGCAGCAGGTAAAGCAGCTAGTAATACATCATTTTGGTCTGTTTGAGACAGATGTAGGAGTACCAAAAAAGAATGGACAGCTGCAGAACATGGCATGGGATTGTTGTCGCATCAATGCTGGGAGACATATGTCAAATTGTATCTTTTTTTTTTTTTCACTCTGAATAGTTTTTACCTTGTACCGGTGATAAAGTGCAAATTCCCATAATCATTTCCTCCAATCTGAATTCATACTCCTTCCCTATGGTTTTCGGTTGAAGGTGCCAGCTATTAAGGACAAACAGGCCTGAGATTCCTTTAATACCAACTCTTCTTAAAATTTTAAATCAAGACTGTGATTATAGTAGTGGTTCACTAATTTGTACATTTGCACATGCAGGCTACTAGTACTGATACATTATCTTGCACAAGTGCTTTGTAAACATACGTTCTCCAATCCATTTCTATTCTTTCTTTTACTACGCCCACTTCCCTATGCATTGAGATTTTCACAATGTCATTTGTGTTACCCCTTGCCAGCTTAACCATTATTTCACTTTCCCTCTTATCATGCTACCAGCTGGGATAGTGGCTCTGCAACAGAAAGCTTCTGGCTGTGATGTGTTTGCATAAGTAGAAACTGTGGAAAAAGACATGACTACATGGATACTCAAGACTAACAATATATACAAAATAATATTATCTCATCTGGATGTTCAATTCAGACCTTTGCCTTTCTAGTTCTTCTCATAACAAACTAAGCTAACTAAATATACATTCATACGGTACATATACAAAGTTTAGGATTATTATACTTAGTGTTAATAATTTACAAGTTCCACTCAGTTTAAGTTCCAGTGATGTTTCAATATGATATTGATCGTGGCCTTAAAGTGGTTAGAGCAACAAGTAAGTTGAAGTCATTCATACTACAACCTGACCAGCCACATTTGAAAATATGAAAACAATTTCAAAGATCTGTCAGCATAGTACTCTCGGGCCTTTTGCTGAAGCAAGTTGGTGTAGTATGATGTATGATAGAGAACCAAATAATGCGTAATGTTTTGAATGTAAGGCAGAGATAGAAAACCCACACCATCATTTTTGGGGGAAAAATTTGGAATAAACTCACTAAGCTCACTGAATAATTGGTAAGAATTAAGAAATACAAAAGTAATACATTGAGCAATATGGTATAGTTGGTCCTAAAGAAACTTACATGGGACACTATTCATAAGTAAAGAGTGATCATTAGACAGGCTTTTAATAGAGAAAGGATTTTAATATCTTTTGATTGGGATGATAACAACTTAATTCTACCGAGCTGAACTCCAATGAGTGGGGAACATAAGATTGTTTGTATCTACAGTAATAAGCAGGCTCATGTATTCATTAGTCATGTACAAAATATGCGATCTGTCTTCACAAATCAGACATCTTGATTCATGTGAGTCATGTTGTAAACAGTTTGCCAGACTTCACTCAATGTCATGAAGAAAATGTGTTGCTGTATGTGCTACCACAAAGCATTTAAGCCCATAGGTTCTCCTCCTTACCTGTTCAGAAGTCTACTGTGTTTCCATTTCTTCAGTCTTGGCTTTTTATTTTTTATCTCTTTTTCTAATTTCTGAGAGCACCCTTGTCACAAAAAATCACAATTATTTGTTTTAAAGGATTTTGTTTTTGATCCATCCGTCTATCCATTATTTATACTGCTTAGTAGGACTGCAGGGGCAAGCTGCAGCCTATCCCAATTGTCAAAAGGTCCATCACAGGGTCACAAAGAGACAAAGCTAACTCCACACTGATAGGTCCCCAGTACGCCAGGGATTTATTTAATTTTCTCCCTCATATTCCTACATACATCGAGACTGTATATTAGATTGTATAGCAAATTCAGTTAAAAAAAAAAAGCGGGATGTCTTTAAGGATAAATAAAATAATGTAAATGTACATTGAATATACTTGTCGCATTTCTGCGAAATCTTAAGTACAAGGTATCACACTGCACTAAAAGCTGCGTGAAAAGAAAAAGAAATACCGCAGTAGTTTAAGTCTTTTTACTTACAGTTGATGAAATGCATTGGTGACTGCAATGAAAAGCCATAATCTGAACGTACACACTGTTGACCACAACAAACACAAAATGGAAACATGCCAAAAACTCAAATAGGTGACTCTCATCTCACAGGACCATACACAAATGCCCAAGCATGTCTCTCCAAACGCACCACCATCAACCCTGATTGACAGCATACACCATGCAGCAGCCCTTCTTCCTGCCTTAAAGCTACAGCTAATGTACAAAGCAAAGCCAGGGTAGTCAAAGAAAAAAAAAAGCTACACACATACACACACCTCCTTTCTCCTTCTTCCCTCTCAATCTGTTTCACGTTTGCATTTTATGCCTGCCGGCATTTTTTTGAAGTGGCAATACTTTGATGCAGACTGAGGGATACATTATCATTATTTCAATTTCCATGCTAAAGTGTTTTGTGTGTGTGTTTGTGTGTGTGGTAAAGATAGGAAGGCAGAGGTGTACCACTCTG